TTATTATTATTATTATAAATGTACAGTTTAAATATAAATAACAAGTCTCTGTGTAGGTTCTCAGTCCTCCAGTTTATCTTATCCGAAGTAGTAGTAGTAGTAGTTAGTTAGTTGATGGAAGTACTTTGTGTATAACATGTCATTACTTCAAAAAGTAACTCTTAGTGCATTTTTTGTACATACTTTTTCATTCTGTTTCTCTCTAAATTCACCTGAAACTTTTTTTCTTCTAGCTGCAGCCATGGCTCGTCTGGATAAAGTCATCATCGACCTCGTCGACACTTACATGCATCATGCCAGTCAACAAGGCGACAAAAGAAAAATGACCATGACGGAGCTCAAGAACATACTGGAAAATGAGATATCAAACCCGGATTTAAAAGTAAGTTGCACTTAAAATACACCAGAAAGGAGCCACGTGTTTGATGTGTCCGTGAATCGACTTCTAACTGTGGGATTTCCAATTTCAGGAAGTGATCACTCCTGGCAGCATCGAGCAGGCGACGAAGGTGCTGGACAAAGACGGCGATGGCGAGATCAACTTCAGAGAGTTCTGTCGCTGCGTGTCTTTGGTAGCCAAAGACTACTACCAAAGCAAGAAAGGCAAGGGTGGCAAGAAGAAGGGCAAAGATTAGAACCCAGCCCTTTTAGAGTCTAGTCTGGTTAACTGTTTGTGTTGATCACTCATGTTGACTACACACACCTGTGACAAATGTGCGTCTCTTTACCCACAAGGCCATCTTGTTATCAGTCTATTGTCGAATCAAATAAAAGTGGAGCTCGTATGACATCCAACGCCTTCGTGTCACTGACTTTGACTTTTGTTACTGACTCCTGATTCCTACAGTCGCGCTCATGTTTTTGGTCGGAGCAAACGTCTGTGCCTTTGGCCAGTTTCGGTGGCTCGTGGGGACACACCTGTGTCACTGATATTGCTCCAATAGCATCAACATGAATGTTTTTGTTAAAAAATATAAATTCCACCTAAACTGGTTTTGCCAGATCAGTGTCAATCTCATATTACGTGTCACAACATGCGAACAACAATCCGTCATGAGAAAAAAATATTTTTCTATGACATACATTTTTTGTACGCCATCATTTTGTGCTTTTGAGGAATTTAGTTACTTGGGGTTTTTTTTTATTGCTTTTCATGGTATCGTTTGTCATAACCATGAGCTGGCCCTGTGATTGGCCGAACAATAACTTGGTAAAATATGCATCAGAACATTCAAGCTCACGACCAATGCTGTGTTAAGAAGGCGTTACTTCTAGATAGTTGTAATGGCATATTAAAAATAAAGAGTACATTATATTTGTTCTGTTGAGTTTATCTTTTGGGATGTGTTGTTTGGAGTACTTTCATGTACTGCACTGACTATTAACAAATACAGCTGAACCAATGCAAACTCATTACTGCCCACCGGGTGGAGCAGCTATTACAAGAAAACAAAGATGCATGAGGTAGAAAATGTTTAAACTGTCAAAGGAAGTCAATGTTGTCTGCTACTTTTGTTTGATGTTAATGAACAATAAATACAAGGGTGATTATAATAATAATAGTAGTAATAGTCGTTGGCGTGGGGCCATCTGAAGGTCGCACCACAAACTGTCTAGCTTGTTTATGACGTAGTTCTGTAGAAATTACCCAAAACATCTCATGTAAAAAAACAAACAAACAAAAAAAAACTGGTTGAGCTTGTTGATGGATTCATTGATGCCTTACCGCCACCATGTGGTGGAAAACTGCTTTGTGACTGTGCTTCTCATGGATAACGTACCTCAGGTGTCTTCAGTTGATAACAAATCCAGTTCTGCGGCCTACGGGTGCAAAACTGATTTTTTTTGTGTGTGTGTCCATTTAGGTGGCATAGACGGTTCAAGTTTGGGCTGCGCCCCTATGGTTAAGAGTCACTGCTTTAATATAGATGTTAGATATAGACTTCTTATTATTCCTTTTCTTCATCATCTTCTCCTTCTCTTTTCCGTTTTCTCTGGGAAACTCAGGGATACAGAAAGACGGGGAATCGAACCATCAAAGTTATGACCTTCTTGCCGTCAGGCACTTATAAGGACTCGTGGAATATTCTAGCAGGAATCTGGAGCCATTCCCATGAGTCATCGGTCAGTAGTGGTAGGAAAAGAAGTAACAGTAAAAGTAGTATTTGTAGTCGGTGGTGAAAGAGTCTGCACGTCAAGATGGACTGAACATAAAGCGCCTCCCGCAGTCGAAGAGAGGAACTGCAGTCTTTGTGTCAGCACTGACTCAGGTTTACATGTCGGTGTTTTTTTTTTCCTGACTTGGTTCTGTTGATAGAAAGAAATCCCACTGCTTTAGTTCACAGTCATTTATTTACCCAAAACGTTCCTAATGTTTCTAATCACCTGTTAACGTTAACGGTTGCTAAATCGCTCAGAAGTTATTTTAGAAGTTAATTATAAAACGTAAAGATAAAATGAACCGATATAAGGGTTTAAATCCTCCTAAAGTCACCGAGAAAATTATATATATATATATATTATACCTGATATTCTCACTGGTGAATACTGTCTGTCTTTGGGTGATGAAAACAGGAAAGTACTCACACACTGAGTCTGTCGGAAAGGCGGTAAAGTCACGTGACGAAAAGCGCCAATCAAGTTTCAAGCAAAGAACGTTTCTCAAACAAGTGCATTGTACAAAGAAATTACACAATTAAATTGTGAGTTTGTGAGTATAAAGTCGTCACATAAATGTACGACTTTTCGGTTGTGACTTTACGACTTAATTCGCATTTAAGTTACGACTGTTTTCTTACTTTATTCGTTAATTAAGATTTATTGTTAACCACAGTGTGACCCCCAAAAATCCGTCATTTTTTTCAGTGTTATAAAAACGAACTCCCTGCAAATACAACCGAATAATGCTTTTCTTCACTCTGTCCACAAGGTGGGGTTAGTGTGCAGAAATACAAACTAGTGGATATTTGCCAGGTTTCAAATAAACAAGCAGACTAATACAAAATTTAAAAAATGCAATATGATAGATTTTATTAGCTTAGCATTAGCTTAAATAAAAGGACCGGAACACAGCGTTGATTTGCAGGCAGGATTTCAAAACTGCATCTATATTTTAAAAGATGTGCACAGTACAATTAGGAAAATTGAATTACTACTTAATGTTGAACTTTCTGAGATAGAAAATTAATTTAAAAAATAAAAATATTTGTTTAAAAATGTATTACCTGCTGTACAACACATTCCACCCTTAAAAAAAAAGAAGCAGTTGATTTTGTCGTTGTCGTTACAGCTGTACTAGACGCAGGACAGAAATTAGGGTGTGCTATTATAAAGAGAATTAAGGTAGAGTTCAGAGATGGGTGTGGATCAAGTTTAAACATGTGCCGTAGCATTTTGTGCAAGTCATCATGAGAAGTGGAAAATCACATCGGCTATATGTTCCACAACTTTCTCATGTGAAGAATTCTGCCTGTTCATCGTACCTTTGAACCATTAATTGGTTGATAATCTACAGCTAAATCCTTCTCAAAGGTCACGGCGGTGACTGAAGCCAATCCCAGCAGCCATCGGGCCAGATCTCAGTCCATCACAGGGACCTCATCAACCATCAGCCAGATTTTATTTTTATTTTTAGATGTTAAAATTAAAGTCATTTCACATTTCATTTATGTGCAAAACAGTACACTGATAAAAACAACAACAGAAAAAAAACCATTGTTGCTTTGTGTTTTTATTCAGGTTTCCATGGAAGGGCCTAGACACCTTATTTCGTAACTACGAGATCGCGAGATCAGCTAAGATAACAGCATTGTATTCACTGGATTCATTAGTGTTTATTCAGGGAACGCAATATGTTTCTATATGAATCACTGCTTAATTAGCGTTGCTAAACACACACACGCACACATTGTTTATCTCAGATCTCGAAGTTCAAGTAGGTTTCCATGTAATGGCTGAACTAATTACAATTCATGTGCAAAAATATTTCCTCTTAAACTGAGAGGTCACATGACCGGTTGTTTGTATGCACTTTGCTAAACAAAACATCAACTGCTCCACCCTTATCAAACTAAACAAAACAAAACAAAACATAAAGAGACAAATCTGACTGACTGTTGAAGTGGTAAAGCTGGTTGGTGCCCACTCCCTCCTCGGACTGGCACACAGGTCACACACCACTGTTACTGTACACATGGGCTTTGTGTTGGTGTGCGTGCAGGTGTGTCTGTCATTGTGAGGGCTGCTATAAATACAGGAATCCTACAGCGTCTCTCTCATCTGAAACCAAGCCGGTGACAGCGACTTTATCTCTCTACTTTATCTCTCACTACTGAGAAAACTCAGAAAACTCCGAGGTGAGTACGGGACAAAAAACGTCTTTGATTTTCCCGAGATACCAGCGCTTTTAATGGTGTAATTTACAGAGGTGGAAACTAACGAAGTACACTGTAATTGCGTAGTTTTTGTGAACTTTTTTTAAGTAGTTTTGGGAATAGGTAATTATTATATTTACTTTGACAAAAGTACATTTTGACTCAAATATTTTACTTTGCCAATTGGAAAAGAACCCATTAGTGAGTAAAAAAATGAAGTGCGGGGCAAAACAAGCTGCGTTAACTTAAAGTTAACGTTAACTAAGAGAAAGACACTGTCATTGGATGATGGCTGGGTTGAGGATTGCTGAGCAGAGAGAACTCAGAAAGAGAAGGAAAACCAAATCGCAGCTAGCTTTTGGTTTCGAAATGTGAACGATGCGATAACTTTATCATGGGATGCAAGTGGGATGTGTGACTTCTCCTTTTTTTGCGTCATGTGATATAAAGTAACTTTCACTCAAAGTCATTTTTAAATTAAGTGTTTTTTTGTTTTGCTTTTTATTTTTACTTAAATAGATTTTTATGATGACTGTAGACTTTTATTTTCACTTCCACTTCTCTCTTTCACACAGCCATGCCTTCTCTGGATGAAAGCGTGTGTAACATTGTGGAGATTTACGGGAAGTATGCCAACGCACAAGGCAAGTTGACCAAGGATGACCTGAAGAGGATGATGGAGGAACAAATCAAAAACCCTGCACTTAAAGTAAGACAGATTTCATGAATCCAGATCATTTATTTTTTTTGGTCGTACATTGATTCTCATTGAGCTCTTTGTAAAGGCCGTCGTATGCGTTTGTGTTCCGCAGGCCAAGATCTGTGCAGACAATTGTGAGAAGGTCATGGGATGCGCAGACAAGAACAAGGATGGAGAAATCACCTGCGATGAGTTCAAAAAGTTCGTGGGTCACATGATGAAGTGCTGCTACGAGCACAAGATGGGCTGCAAAGGGTGTGATCAGTAAAACGGGAATGTGAAATGACCAACGCCACCTCCACTGTCTCTAACAAGGAGCCGTTTGGCTCAGAATAAAATTGTTTACAATGAAGAAGTGTGTGCGTGTCCCTTTAAGAGTTCAAAAAAATGTCCTCAGTGAGGCGGGAAACAGACGTCACGTGATCCTAAGTGTTTCAATGGTGGAAGATTAGACTGACTCGGGTTGTTTGTGGTTCTACGTTCCTGTCTAACGTCTCCAGTGTTCTACTTCGAGAACAGGTCGGTGAAAAGGTTCTTGTTGTGACTCTGAATGTGACTTATTATTGGTTCCAGACAAACCGATAAAGATTTAATTTAAAGTAATTCGTCGACGTCACACTCACATACACGCGCTCGTTCTCGCGCACACATACAAACACACCGAGGAAAGCAAAATATTACAGTTGTATTTCACAACAAAGTAACTCAACGACTCGTGAGGGAAAGCTGACGCCACCGCGTACCACTAGAGGGAGGCAAAGTGCAGACACGGTTTGAAAAACATTGAGTTGATGCTTCCGCAGAGTTCCGTGTAAAAAACGAACAAACGAGTGAATTAAGAAACACAATTTAAAAAGAATTCGTCATAAGATTTGCCGGACGAATCAGGCAAAAACAGAGGCTTGAAACAATCTTTTCAAATGACCAACGGCTTTTTTGGCTCACGTCAAGTGCTTGTCAAAATAAAAGCTCTTTAGAGAGCTGCTTTTTAAAAACCGGAAACGTCTTATGATTTGAGAATGTTGGGTTCAAGTCCACAGATAAAGGTGAGTCTCACCTGCCGAAATCCCTCTGTGTCTCATGTGGCGTGGAGAGATGTGGTTAGTTTAATAAACACGTACTGTATGTTTTTAGAAAAACAGTCATTAAAGTTAATTATCTCAGAGAAATTACAGACTGCAAAGATGAAACATCACCCCCGTCCCCCACCATCAGGCTTTGCTGGGACATGTGAAATGTTATGAAATCGATTTTCGTGTGGAATGTATGATAAAATCTTTAACACCATGACATTGATCTAATATATGAATATCTTGCTCCACTAAGAGCCTTGTCTGCACAAGTATTTCTACCACATAAAAATAAATAAATTATTTTCTTTCCAAAGTATATGCTCTGTCACTGATGGTGTGACTGAATACATTACAATTAAATGATTTTCATAAAAATCGAATAAAAACATGGAATGCATTAACAAATAACAATAAAAAAATAATAACAGCAGCTGTCCGTAAATGACATCTGTTGGAAACTGAAAAGAAATGCGGAGGAAGCTGCGACTTCTTGTTTGTTTACCGTACATTGCTCTCGAGGCCATAAAGTTTAGAGGCGTTGACTTATCAACACTCAGATTACAATGTTTGTTTCTATCAAGCAGATCCATGTGAACAAAAGTCACACTGTTGTACTGCTGGTTTCCAACGGCGTCAGCAAACAGTCAACCAAGTTGTGTACTTCAGCACTTTAACAACACAGAGCTGCCATCTTGATATATTGTACATCATGTGTTTTAAAAATTTCATGTATATATATATATATATATATATATATATATATATGATCACTCAACAGGATCTTTGCTGAGATCAAATGTGTGAACTCTGAGCAGCAGCACTTTTTTTTTTTTCTTAAACTGAAGCATAATCATCGGATGTCTCCACCCAAATGTTGTCCAAACATGTGAGGCAGACAGACGGAACACCATCTGGATGTGTGGTCTGTGGTGTCACTCAGCCAGGGCTTCTGTCAATCAGTGTAGGATGTCGTCTCAGTGCCGGCAAATAAATAAAAATTGCACTGTAAATAATGTAAATAATGAATAATGAGTTTTGCTCGCTCCGCAACGTCAGGAAAGCAGAACTCCACCACCAGAGGTCTCTGTTTAGTGGGACAAAAATTGGACAAAGCCCTGTGACAGCTTGCCCTGCAGAGGGCGCTGAGTTACTCCGATTGACTGACATGGACACACCTGCTAACACGTCTGTGTCATCTATACCTCCTTCCATAAACACAGCTTAGACTAGAAGGAGAAAAAAACCAGTTTGTCTTCGAACGTTTTTACTCCCTATTGTCCAGCGTTCCTGCGCACGGCAAACACAGCTGCACCGTTTATTGTTTCCGAAACATTGTCTGTCGCCGCACAGAAACACAGTCAATAACCCGTACTCTCTCTACTGCAGTGAAAGAGAATGTGCCGCAGTAACACGCACTGCACGGCTTCACAGGTAGTTTGTTTTAAACAAGTAAACAGAGGAGTAATACAATATCCAAACAAAGGTTGGTTCTGCTGCACTCCAAAGGTCTCATATGTCCTGGTATCCAGTGGTAACGTACTGTAAACCAAGCCAGCATTTATCCTGATTTAGAAAAAACCCGCGAGGCCCAGAGGAGTGAGCTCATGCTGCTATCTATTGTCATTAGCGTCTGACACAGACAATGGTAAGAAATCATTTGGACTGTGCTCTGGTACAGTGGCGTCCTAACCTTTGTCTGTAGCGCCCCCTTCTTCTAAAACCTTAAACATTGAGTAAAAACTAGAGATAGCACTATTTTCTCCACAGTGTCTGCAATCAGACCAGGAACCACGTGTTTGATAAATGTGGTCTGAACAACTGAAAGAAGGTGGGGTTTTTTTACCCCAGTTCCTTCATTGGGTGGCTTGTTTGGTCAGCACCTGTAAATGTGGCTGTCATCTCCATGACAACGATGCGTTGCTAGCGTGTAGTAGTAACCGCGCCTTTCTACTTTTACTATGAGGTCAGTTTGATAAAACCATCAGCGGTTTGAGCCAGGATACTAGTTCAAAACAAAGGGAGCGTTGTGAATGAAATATCTGGTGTATTTACTGAGTGGTACCTGTACTTGTAATCTGCAAACTTTCTAAAAGTACTCTTTTAAATATTTCTTCTTTTGTCTACTCTGCCGACTAATGACTCACTGCACGACATTTTCCGTGGTGACATCCCAGACTGAATTTGAATTGAGTTATTCTTATCAACATTATCCTGGGGTTTTTCTTTTTTCTTCTTCCATGTTCTCTGTTGTTGGCGCTGTAGGGCAACGACTGACTTGCACAAGATGTTTGTTTGTGTGCTGTTGGTGTGGCTGGGTGCCACACATTCCCTGTCCGTGAGTCACGGAGCCTCCTGACTCCGCCTGGTGTCTGAATCACTGTTCGTGGAACTGCCTGAACACTTCCTTCTCTCCTCTAACCAAAACCGGTCTCCTCTCATCTGCATGTTTACAGACACTCCTTTAATGCTCAAACGCTTTAACACGAGTCCGTGTGAGACCACAGTGAGACTATCAACAGGTCCGCGACCTGTGGTTTTGTCCATTATACCTGTGTACTTTTCAAAAGAAACCCGCCTTCTGCCAACGTGTTCCAGCCACGGTGGCAGTCGTGCCTCAACCGTCCAATAATCTGCTATGTCGACCTACTACAGACCAGGGCAAACTATGGTTTGCGGGCCAGATATGGCCCATTGGGCTTTCTAATGTAGCCCACTAAACACTGGTACAAGGCAGGACTGCCCTGATATACTCACAGGAATAGAAGAAAGATCTTCTTCTGAGCCTCTCTCTCTCTTTATATTTATCGCTATCTGCTGCAACCTAGTGGAGGAGTTGTTGTTCTTTTCTGCCTATCAAATTATTTGCAAAGGACCCACAATAGTTTTCAAAAAAAGAGGGGTGGAGGGGGGGGTTTGTTACCATTTTTAGTTTTGTAAATTGTATAAAAAGAGTGTTTCCAGGGTGTGCGTGTGTGCGTGTGCGCCTTTGTTCTTCCGGTCTTAAAAAAACCTGGAGTGTTGTAGGAGTGGAGAGGACTCTGACCTCTGTGTGTGTACAGCAGATGAAGACTAGCATGAAAAGGCATCAGTAGATGAGAAGACGAGTGTTAGTCGTTACACATTGTGTTCTCCAGAAAACATTGGTGGAATTCTGCTGGAAGTTCCTGCGCCACAAAGAAATAAAAAGAATGGAAAAAAGAGAAACTAGAGAGGAAAGGGAGGAGGGATCCAGAGAGGGCGTGTTGAACACTATTTAAAACGATGGCATCGCCTGATTCCTGCCAAAGACCTCCACACCTTCCTTTAGACTCACAGCAAGAATCACACAACTCTGGTGAGTGAAAACTTTGTCTTTAACCTTTTTTTGTTTCTCTAAATATGTCAATGTTTTAAATCCAAACTTTTGCATTTGATTTTTGTCACTACTTTAAATGTAGATTTTGCATTTGATTTTTGTCACTACTTTTTCCGTGGTGGACTTTTTCCGTGTAGGACTGCTGTAATTGCAGTCTGTGCTGAGGAGTTGTTTTGGGGTGTGGCTGGAATGTCTTTTATCACTTCTTTGAATTACTGAACATCTCCATTACCTAGAAATCTGACTGCTCACTGTTACAGCACCAACTTTAGAGAAGAGGATTTCAAAGATTTTAACTTTTTCATTAAAGTAATGTTGTAGATGTGGCGTTGTAGTCCTGGAGCAGACAACAGGGCATCAAATGACAACAGTTTCTAGACTTCAGCTCCGGGCAACGACCAAATCCAGGAAGTGCAGGATCAGAGATGAGCTGAGGAACAGCTAGGGTTTAGAAGTTTGGAGGTGGCGTCAAAGAAGATCTGTGCATCTGTGTCACGATAGAAGAGACGAAGACGAAAGAAAAGAAGATCTGTGCATCTGTGTCACGAAAGAAGAGACGAAGACGATTGGTGGCAGAAGTCTAACCAGATTCTAAACCTGAAGGATGTGGTACGAAGAAGTAGAGAAGAAGAATAAGGACAAAAAGGAGATGTAGGAGTAGTAGAAGAAGGTTAAGGAGATTTGGCAGAGGAAGAAAAGAGAAAAGGAAAGGGAGGAATGAAATGATGAAGAGAGTGCAGAGAGGAAGAGAACAGTAGAAACAAAAAAGGCAGAAGTACGAAATTGAATGAAGAACAGGATAATGAAAGCCTTCAGGTCTCTCTGGTTAGAGATCAACTTTCATTTTTCCTTTTTTATTGTTCCCCTTTCACTTCTGCTACAATGTGTTAACGCTGTAGATGCTTCTTTCTGTTCCCAGCCAACATGGCCAAACTCCTGCAGTTGTTGGGATCCATCAAGGGCATCTTTGCTCAATATGCCGGAAAAGACGGAGACGGCAGGAGTCTCAGCAAAAGGGAACTTAGTGAACTGCTGCGTGAGGAGTTTGGCATTACAGGATCGGTGAGTGGGAAGACAAACCACCGTCACACACGACAACTCCCCCCTCCCTTCCCTGTCTGTATTCTTCTGTTGTATTTGCTGCAGCTTTATTACATCTCGGTCTGATTTTCTCCCAAAAGGCCAACAAAAAGGAATTGGACGACTTCTTCGACACGCTGGACCAGGACAAGGACAATGTGGTCGACTACAATGAATTTCTCACATTTATGGTGACTTTGGTGGCAATTATGGATGCCTAACAGGTTCTTCTTTCTCTGAATAAAACTTTAGAATGTGCGCTAATTGTACTTTCACCTATGAGACTGTATTTGGCAACTCTGATTTAAATGTTTAGACCAAATATGTTATACCAACACACTTTTCTCTACAATTTGCCTCTGAATTAAAAAACAAATCTGAATGGGTTTTCTTTTTCGTGATGTGATGTGCTTTTAGTTTTATTCTGTTTTTAGTGGTTTAATTTTGGGACGGAGAAAAAACATCAATTATATTTAGTCCTAACAGCAAGCGTGACGAGAACACAAAACATCAGCTGTACAGTCCTAGCCCTACATTACAAATTGGTATTCATTTATATATAACAATAAGATACTAATATGTAGGGCTGGGTATCGCTAGGTACCTTTGGATACAATACCATTACGATATTTGGGCTATGATTGCGATAATATCACAATACATAAATTCTGCAGTGATCAATATATTGCGATACATTTTGTCCATGATACATCGTCACTGAAGACATTCAGAATTTAGAGAACACCCCCGCCCCGGGAGAAAATATCTGTCTGCCACAAACTCCAAACAATCATAACCGTAGTACCGCAGTACAAATGGGGTCCCTGCATATGTAAATCCAGACGTTTCTGCGCTCGCGCCCTCTAGCGCCATGGTCTCTGGCGCCATCATGTGGACGTTTGAAAAAACGCAGCAGGTTTTTGTGAGCGAATCTATTTAGAACGAGTGTATGTTTATTGTTTGGATATTTGTCGCCAGTATATCGATAACGTACCGCCAAGACGAAATATTGCGATGTATCATAGTATCGATATTTTGGCACACCCTTACTATTAGAATTCCATTTGAGTTTAGTTTTTTTCAGTGTATGTTCTTCCAAAACCTTTTCATGTGAGTCACTGAGAGAAAATATTTAAAATTCCTTATTTTGGTCGTGAATGCAGGGACTTTCTAAGGCCGTGAGAGTGTTTGGGAGTGTTTCTTGTTTACGTGTATAATGTGGTCCTGGTGACAGTCAGCCGGGTGTTATTATGACATGGTCACTTGATGTCACAGAGCAGAGCCACACCCCGGAGGATCCAGTAATCAGCAGGGCGCGCAGTTTTCAGATCCACCGCTGCGATGTAGTTGACGTCTGTCCTGGACGGTTTCTTGTAGATCGGACAGGAGTAGAGACGAGGATCCTTCACTCCTGCAGCAGGAAAATGTATATGTGTGTATATATATATATATATATATATATCGATAATCTTTGATTCTCTTTAATTAAGAGAAGTTATAGTGCTCACTACTGCCCCCAAGATATGTGGTGGTTCTGCTGAGTCTCTTGTGTTGTGCAACACATCTCCAGGATAACCCATGTAATGAAAATAAGTGAACCTTTACAGCTACATGAACATGTAGGTACAGCACCACCTGCTGGGGAAGCTCATTACTGTTTTTTTAAGGCTTTTAACTTTTTTTTTTTTTTTTTAAATAATCAAAACTCACCATTATTCTCAGCATACATCCTGATCACAGGCATCACCTCGAACAGAACTTTGGGCTTAGAGTCCACCAGTTTGCAACCACGTCGGTCCCAGCCCGCTCCCTCCAGGTACAGGCCGTAGACGTACACTCCCTCTGTGGGGGGGTGGGTGACGTCATCCTTCATCCATTTAGTCACCTCATTGCACAGAACCATACGGTCCAGAGCCCAGCCCTTGTTTGTCCTTGTGATCTCCTGCCAGAGCAAGTACAATGTGGCTTGTTGAGGTGATGGTGGAGGTTCCTTCTATAGTTCTAGATAATCTAGATGGATTATAGATAATCTAGATAATAATCTATAAATGTAAGAATGTCTTCTGAACATATAACATGACCAGTCACCTGATTAAAAAGCCAGAGTTTACCGAATATCAATTTAGGCTCAACTGTAATCTCTAGTAGTGACTGGATGTGGAGCAGTGGTGGGATTTCTGTTGCCATGCAGAAAGTTCTGGTTTGATTCCAAAACCAGAATTTACATTGCATCAGGAAGGCTGTGGCGCCCTCTGGTGAAGGAACAAGCTAAAAGCGTTAAAAGAGCTACCTCTGGTGAAGGAACAAGCTAAAAGCGATTTATTAGTAATTCAACAGGGAAAATCACCTATTCTGCCACATTGTACTATTGAGACATGACTTTTTTTGATAGCTGCTTTTTGGGCAAAAATACCACATTATTCTGTCGTGGCTACAGTTTGCTGGTTTAGTTGTGGCTCCCACCAAGTGAGAGTGGATTTGGATTAGAATTAGGGTGAGATTAGAATACCTGTTTCATGGCTGTGAGGAAACCTTGTGGGTTAAAGAACCCAGTCATCCAGAAACAGTTGGGCCGTCCTTCAAAGATCCACGTCTGGAACTGCCGGTTTCGCTCCAGCAGCTCTGTGAACCAGAAGCCCAGAGTGCTGGAGGCCCACGAGGCCTGAGGGAGGAAAGACACCGCATTTGACAAAACTGTCATCAAGGAGGATTAGAGGCAAGGACAGTAGAAAAAAAAAAACGACAACTGTTGTGTTAGTGGCCTCAGCTCAACGGAAAAAAACGACAACTGTTGTGTTAGTGGAACTATCAAGTTCTAAAGACTTGATAGAACAACTATAGTAGAGGTCATTCCCAAATTGTACCACACGAGGGAGCACTTGAACATCAGTTAGCATCAACACACAGTTTGTCATGATGCTCTTTGTTATTATTATTGTCTAAAAGATATAAAACAGAAAAACACATTTCAAATTTCACACTGCAGACCTTCTTCCAGCGCGCAGGGATGCGTGCGTCATACATGCAGTCCAGAGCATCTCGGAGGTTCTCACTCATGATGATGGTTCCGTCGATCGCCAGCTTCAGGTCCGTCAGGGTGTTTCGAACCAGAACTATGACTCTCTGCATCCGATCGATCTCCTGACGCAGGAAGATGTTCATGGGCTGGAAGGCGTCCATCTTCTGGAGACGTTCTTTAACCTAGTTTTATTAGAACCAGACAAGACAAGACTATTGTTTCATTCACGTCGGTCCAACAACTTTAATCTGACCCTACTTCTAATCCAAAATATTCTGAGTCACTGAGTTAGGTCCTGCAAAAATGTCCCTGCAACGACACAAGTAGAGCATCTTTGCATACACTGTCCCCACATGTATAGCTACACCAGGACCACATGTACACACACACACTTACTTCAAAAGGTACATAGTCAGCGGGCAGTTTGTCCAGCATGTCGTCAGCCAGCCGGGACACCACAGCCTCTCTGGTTTCCCCGGCACCAGAAGCACTGTCTTTAGGCTGAATACTGAGGATGGTGTCCAGGACGTCTTTGGCCAGTTTGCTCTGGTACGTTATGTCTGCGTTGGGGTGAAGACCAAATACTTCTGGAGTATCATAGGCTGGAAGACCCTGTTAGGATAGAACAGTAACAGAATCAGTGGGCTCTCCTCAAAGGTCTATTTACACGCCTGCAGTACCATACGATACCACCGGAAGAATGTTGTTCCGCATAAAAGTTTGCTGCAAAAGAGGAAAGACTGCGACTGCCCTCACCTTGACATACGTCAGATACTCATCGACGCTAGAGCATTTGGGGACGCTGTAGCCGCTGTAGAAGCTGAAGGCGGGACTGAACATGTTCTCATTGAACCACACTTTGGCAAATGTGTTGAGGAGACGCTTGTCAAAGTCGTCAGTCACGCGACCACCATACTGAATCTCTCCGATCATGTACTGCACGGTGTTCCAGGAAACCCCCTGGGATGAGAAACGGTGGTCCCTGAGTTTCTCCATGTGTATTTAATGACACCTGACAGTAAACGTTCGCAGCTGTTCGCGTCACGTCTTCTACCTTTTTGATGTCCACGTCGTCCAGGTGGTTCTGAACGAACTGGACGCTGGCGTTGAAGTCGGCCTGGTTGAACTCGTAAGGGATGTTCCAACCCAAGGATCCGTACTTTCTTCTCTCCTGGACGATGCTGTGGAGAAACGCCACCGCGTAGAGCATGGGCTTCCACTGCACCATGTTACTGACGTCCAACAGGTCCTGGTTAATGCCTGGAACAGAACACAACAAAGCCCTGATAGGTCTGATAACAGAACTTTTTTTGCAGCGCCCTCTTTCTGTAGAAACGACTTCTGTCACACCCTGCATTGGCAAATTCACAGGTATTACTTTAAATCTCCACTTAACTTAAAAAAAAAAATCTTATTCCTACAAAAGTGATATTCTTATTGAAATCCAACTGTTTAAACTGATATTCATTTTCTTCACTGCACCCATAGGGGCCCCGCCCCCCACCTTAGGAACCGTTGCCCTTTTTAAAAACATTTCACTGTTTGTTAAATCAGGTTTATTTCTTTTTTACTAAAGGTTAGTTTCATTGGTGACATCGAACCAAAGGTGTCCCACCTCCATAAGTCCGTTTGAGCCCCGCCCTCAGGCCCTGAGGCGGTTCACTGGTGAACTTGATGGACATCTGCAGGAGAGTTATAGGGAAGTGTCTGTGGACCTCTGTGGTCATCCAGAGACGGAAGTTAGTGTGTACGAACTCCGTCTCTGTCACGGTGTCCATCAGCTCATCCATAAAGTCCAAACCCAGATGGCAGTTCTGCAGTAAGGCCCAGCCGCCCTGGAGACGATGAGAGTCGGTGGTAAGTATTTGTTAACATTCACCCTAATGTATGACACATTCTCACTGTCTTCAACCAAACAGGCCAAACCATGGCAGCGACCCGACTCACATTTGCCATCGTCTGCTGCAGAAGCTTGCGGGCGTGGACCTCCTGACCCTGACCCATGGAGACATACTGTGTCTCAACCTTTAACTTCCTTCCCAGTGCAATGATGGAGTTTGTTGGATCGGAGCCCATTGACAGGAAGCAGATGAGAGGCGTCCTGGGGTCCGACTCTTCCCACGTTTTGTCCAAGTCTAGAATCAAGCCTTCGGTGTATTTCTCACCCATTGAACTCATCACGTATTTACGAGCCTAAAAGAAAGGTTTTTTGTTTGTTTTTATTATATTTTTCTGATCGTGATATCCAGATGATCACACTGCAGACTTGATCATTTGTTTAACCTGTGCGATGGTCCGGTCTGGACACCAGCAGCGGATGAGGAGCAGGCGTCTGAAAGCATCGAGGTCTTGCTCGTAGGAGTTGGGTAACACCTCCTCCTCTGGCGCCTCCTTGTCAAACCATGATTTCCACTGCTTCTCATTCTGAGTGATCTGTAGGTCAGGAAGCAATTGTAAATAATTAAATGACATGTTGCTAACATAGTAAATAATTGATTATCAACTGGTGGCCCATGGGCCGAATCCTGCCCACCAAACCGTCCAATCTGGCCCACTGCTGGAAGTCCAAGATTGTGAGACTCACAAAATGACTAGAGAGACTAGAAATCCACACCATTTATTACTGTATTGGACAAAAATTAGATTTTTATTTCATTTTATTTGAGTGTCCGGCCCCCGAGGTGTCTGTCCAGAAAAATTCTGAAGCAACATTTTTTATACGTTTCTTTTAAAAAGTACTGTGACATATACAGTAAAGTACTTCACAGAACTATAACTACACTGTAGTACAGGCTTCATTATGTTTTTTGGGGGAGATAAAATTACATCAGCTCTTTTTTGATCATGTTTTACAGACCTAGTATGTATATATATGTGTGTGTGTGTGTGTTTTGCTGCAGTGTTTCTCTCGCTCTCTCTCCCTCGCTCTCTGCCTCTCTCTCCCCAGGTGAACAGCATCTGCCTAATGATCTGAGGAGGGATATAAGGAGCACTTCTCACTTCCTCTCTGACTCTGACACTGCAGCAGCACTGTGTGTTTTTGTGCTTTTTTTTTTTCTCTCTCCTCTCTCAGTGATTACTCCATCCTGGGTGTCGGAGGATGACGGTTCGTTCTTTTGCTTATTTCTGTCGTTTAACCTGGTGCTTTTCTTTAGACCAGAGCTAACCATCCATTATCAGTAAAACCCTGGTTTTTACATATAAAAAAAAACTCTTCATCCTTCAGCTCTGTCCTGCACCAGACATGTGCCAGCTCATTTACTTTTATATGACGCTTTTTATTTGAACCCTGATTTAAAATCATGAGAGTGAAAGAATACAGTTGTGTGTGTGTGT